TTTTAACGTCATTCAAATTTGTTTTAGACGGTTTTAACATTCTATTAGTTTATATTTTTGAGAAAAAATACATAAAATGAGCTATTTCTTTTAATCTAAAAAAGCAATGCCTTTACTTAGAACTTTTTAAGGTATAATGTTGTTGAACGATAAAAAATGAAATTAATAGTTTGTTAACCCTTTGAAGCAGACGTCCTTTTTATATATTTTTTTCTGACGCTCTACTATAGAATAGGAAAAATATATTAGATATTTTTTAATTATAAAAAACAGTCTTATATTAACTAAAACAGTATTTCACATTATCGGAATTATATTTGTACATAAAATCCAAAAAGAGTGGTTTGAAATTTCTTTTCATTCATATTCAAATATTTATCATTAATTGATTATGTTAATTAAAGAAATTTGATTAGTGAATAACTATTTTTCTTAGATCTAAATAATTGCAAATTCGAAAAATGATTGTTTGTAAGTGGGTCGTGAACTTTACCGCACAAAAAGACGTCGGTGTTTTATGCTGTATTTCATAAACATGAGTTATTAAAATGCTAAGTGAAATATTTTTTCCTTATTTTGGCTTAAATTAATATAAAATAATTAAAAGAGTATGAAAAATTTGTTTAAAAATTTTTTTAACTTAAACATGCTTATCAAGAATTTTTTTGTAAAAAGTTTGTTATAATTTTGAGTATGTTGTAGACAAAAAGGGGCCATAATCCTCTTTTTGGAGTTAACAAAATCTTAGAAATTTCAGTAAGTTATTTTTAATAATTAGTCCGTGTTTATATTCACACATGTTCGCATATTTCCACAAAATAGCAGAAATCTTTTTTAAATACTCTAATGAAGGTGTAAATAATTTATCCCCCAAAATTTAGGTGTTACAAAAATTTTATTTAAATTTTAAATTCTATTAAATTTAAACTTAAACTGAAAGTAAAAATTTCAATAAAATAAAGAAATAAAAAATTCTGAGAAACCTACAATTCATGTAATTTAACTTCAAATTTTATGTTTCCTTTTTAATAAATGGGACGGTTTATAAATGTTTAAACCATCAACAATAAAAACTGACGCATGTCAAAACTTTGGAACTTTGCTTAGTAGTTGTTGAGGATTTATAATAACAGATGGCGCTGAGCGCAAACAACTTTTTTTATTATTTTTTCTTCACTTAAGTTTCAGTTTGGATTTAACCACTGAACCACAATAAAATAAAAGCCTTTTTTATTATTACAATTTGTGTAATTATTGTAGAATACGAATCATGGTGCATCGGCCGGGAATAGGCCACCTGCATGAAATGTAAGTTAACATTTGTTTTGTTTGGTCTCCCTTAAGTTGGTAATTTATTTTGATATTTTATTGTATTAATTGTATTGTATTTGTTAATAACGTGCGAGCTGTTTATAATGGATGATTTTGAAAAATTAAAGTCTAAAAGAGCAGTAATCAGACAGCTGATTACAAAATTAATAAATAAAATTGATAAATCGTTATTAGAAACACTTCCTGATTATCCTGATTTGTATGATTATCTAAATCAGTTAAATGAAAAAAACGAAACTTTAAAGGCTCTTGATTTAAAAATTGAAAATTATTTTGATAAGAGCGATGAATTAGAGAGTGAAATCATACAAAGTCAAGAGTATCAAGATCGAGTAGTGGCTTATAAAGGCAAAATTGAAAGATATTTACTGAAATGCCAGACTACAAGACAGGAAGTAACGATTAATAGTGGTAATAATAATTTACAAGAAAATATAACTTATGGAAATATATCGCACGTTGCTAACGTTAAATTACCTAAATTGGAGATAAACAAATTTTTTGGTGATGCTTGTGAGTGGCACAGTTTTTGGAATAGCTATAACATAGCTATACATAGTAATGAGAGTCCTAAAAAAATTGATAAATTTAATTATCTCAAGATGTATTTAGGGGGATTTGCTTTGAGTGCAATTTCTGGATTCTCATTAACTGAAAGTAATTATGATTCTTCTATTAAGTTGCTTACCGAAAGATTTGGTAGGCAAGATTTAATTATTAGTAGTCATATGAATAAACTTTTATCAATTAATTCTGTAAGAAATTCATATGATATTAAAGCTCTACGTAAGTTCTATGACGAATGTGAAATCCACATTCGCAGTTTGCAATCAATGAATGTAACAAAAGGTAGTTATGGTAATTTACTCTGTCCTGTTATTTTACAAAAGCTACCAGAGGATTTAAATTTAGATTATAATAAAAATAGAAAATCAAGTGTAGATTTTGACATTGATGAACTAATTTCATTTATTAGAAAAGAGGTAGAATGTAGAGAAGCCTCACATGTGTTGTCTAATAGTTCTAAAAAACAAAGTGTTCATTTTGAAACACAGCAACGGTCGGAGAGCCATAGTAAACATAATTATAATCGAAAGTTCTCATCTTCCTCAGCATTAGTTTCGGCATCTAACAACATATTTTGTTTGTTTTGTAATTCCAAAAATCACGAATCGAAAGATTGTTCTCTGACCATCGAAGAAAAAAAACAAACGCTGAAAGATCAATTTCGCTGTTTCCGGTGCTTAAAGAAATATCACACATCCAAAAAATGTTGGAATAAATGTATTTGCACATTATGTAAGAAACCGCATAGCGAATTAATTTGTGATAAATCAGCAATAAATAATGAGTCGAAAGAGAAAAACGATACTTTGGCATCCGTTACCGCTTCATGTGTTTCGAAACGAAAACAAAATGAAATGATCTATTTACAGACTTCTTTAGCGTATTTGATTTATGGTAATGTAAAGAAGTTGGTTAGAATTTTATTTGACTCTGGTAGCCATCGCAGTTTTTTGAAACGGGATATTTGTAATGAGTTGAACCTCAGGACCATTAAAACTGAACGGTTGCATGTTTTCGGTTTTGGAGAAAAAATTTCCAAGGGGTGTTCTTATGATTTAGTGAAAGTGAATCTTCAGAACAAAAACGATAAAAAATTAAATGTTTGCATTGAAGCATTTGTAGTAGAAAAAATAACGTGTGGGAAAATAGCCGCACCCCATGAGAAAATTAAACAATTAGCAAGGAAAAATAATATTTTTCTTTCGGATACCGGAGAAATTGCTGATATAGACATTTTGATCGGCGCCGATTTCCTACATGACGTAATCTTTGATACGTCTTTGAGGCTGGGAAAAGGGCTCGTTGCAACCGATAGTTTATTTGGTTTTGTGGTTCAAGGGAGATTCATGAATAATTGCCAATTAAGTAGGATTGTAAACAATACTATAATATCTGATGTTGATTATTCTTTGTTTTGGAACCTTGAAGGATTAGGAATAAATACTATGAACGAAGAAAATGTTGATAATAAAAGTGAATTGTTAAAAGGTTTTAATTCTGATTTGCATTTTGAAAATAATAGGTATAGTGTACGACTTCTCTGGAGACCAAATACAAAACATTTGTTAAATGATAACTTTGAGCTGGCTTCAGAGAGGTTTGACAAATTAAAGAGGAGATTTAAGAATGATAAATCCTTGTTTGAAGAATATAAAAAAGTTATAAAAACTTACGAAAATGAAGGGATAATTGAGAAAGTTAAAAACACTGATCCCCAAAATTATAAACAATGTTATTTACCTCATAGGGCGGTTATAAGAAACGATAAACTAACTAGCAAATTAAGGATTGTATTTGACGGTTCCGTGCATAAAAAAAATGAATTGTCTCTAAACGATTGTTTGTATATTGGGCCAAATTTATATCCAGATATATATGAACTTATGCTAGCGTTTCGGGAAAACAAGATTGCTTTTATAGGGGACGTTCAACAAGCTTTCTTACAAATAGGGATTAATGTAGAAGATCGAGATGTCACAAGATTTCTTTGGTCAGATGACCCCGACAATGATTCGTCTACAGTGATTTATAGATTTTGCCGCGTACTATTTGGTATCAACTGTAGCCCTTTTCTCTTAGCAGCTACTATTAAAGAGCATATTAAAAAGTTTGCAAAATCAAAGCCTCTTGCGTATGAATTACTAAATGAAAGGGTATATGTCGATGACGTCATAGGGGGAGGTGACAGTACAGATACAGCATTTCAAATAAGTTCTGATTGTGTTGAAATATTTCGGTATGCGGGCATGGTATTGAGAAAGTTTCAAACAAATGATAAAAAATTACGCGAATTATGGAAGAATGCAGGTATAGATGTTCAGAATGAAAAGGAATCGTTAGGTCAGTCAGGCTTTCCATTTAAAGTTTTGGGAGTTTGTTGTGATCCCGAAAGAGATGTATTTTACTTTGAGTCCAAATATCTGTTAAAATTGATAGACACAGGGCAAATAACAAAACGATTTATTTTGAAAATCATTGGGTGTATTTTTGATCCAGTAGGAATTTTGGGACCCTTTACAATGCTTCTAAAATCTCTAGTTCAAAGCATTTGGAAAAGCGGATTGGAGTGGGATCAAGAGCTACCCTTAGATATGGAAAATCAGTGGCGTGATATATGTAAACAATTCGGTGAACTTAATGATTTGAAAATACCGCGTATTCAATTAGTAGTATTAATATTAGGTAGATACCTATGAAGAATTTCTTAATAAAATACTTTGCATTAATTTTATTAACATTACATGTACTAGGTGATCGTTAAAAAACTTGACTTACGTATGTACCGGCCGGTCCGTTAAACCGATCGAGATAAGATTTCATCTATAGTATTAGATAAGATATCAGCTATATATAGTTTAGAGTTATGATATTCTGAGAACGACGGGAAAAGGATGCTCACTCTTACAATTATAGATACAGAAAACAAATTGTAAAATGTTTTTTTTTTTTTTTCTGCTTTCAAAAACCCTAAAAGCGCGTTGAAACGATTCAAGTACAATAAGCTGACTTACTTAGAAAATTGCCTTCTCTAGAAATAGTTTTGTCGTACAAACAGTTACACAAACCTTCTAATTTTAAAACAATTTCTTTTCTCTTTTCAGGATTGTGAATCAAATTATTGGACTTACAATGTGCCTTATCATGAAATTTATCCAGGAAGTCTTCCAAGTTAACTTAAATTCTTGTCATTTGAACTTTTCATGTGATTTCATATCTATTTGTAAAAATTCCAATTTCAATGGACCTTTTCAAAAATATTATTTTCAGCCAATGAAGATACTTTTGGAAAAAAGTTAAGGATACTGAATTTATTTTAGTTGATTTTTGTTTACAGAAAATAAACGTTATTTATCCTTTTTGTGTTAGGTAGGATATATTTCATTTTTTTAATTTATTTATTTGTTAATTCTGAAAATTAGTCGTAAGATAAATTGATTAACTTGATACACACACTGGCCAATGAATTTAAAACCTTTTAGACTCTTTAGATCTTTTGGAAGGACATCGATTCTACAAGAGTGCATTTGTGGTTAAGAGAATACAACATTTTGAGCATTATTGTACAGTGCGCAAAATAAAAAATGGACCACCCTGAATAACTTTTGATCTAATGGTCGGATCTTTGCGTTCCAGGACCCAATCTAAATGGTTCGAGGAGGTGACTTTAAATATGCTAATTAATTAGTGCAGACGATATTTTAAGCTGAGAAATTAGACACGAAATGTAATTTTTCTAAACAAACATACCTTTCTTTCGACGGATTTCTGACCTTCAAAATATAGGAGGTAACCGCAGTCTGGTCTACTAGTTTGGTCAGGAGAACCGTCCGAAATTTGAACTCCTTAATGTTAGCTTTACTTTTAGTGTATTTCCTCATATCTCGGCAATTTTTTAAGCGAATTAAAAAAATTTATAAAATCCGTTTATCCAAAGATAATTCCACACAAAAAATAACTTTTAGTAGATATTTATTGTTTTTTATTACTTTATTTAATAATTTTGAATAGTAAGGTAGGCAATTTTTCACATCATTTTAGAGAAAGTAGTTTTACATGGCGAAATATAATATCTGAGCGAAATTGGTCGAAAAATTCATGAGAATTTTGAAAAAGCGACTATTTTAACGTTATAACCTAGTAGAGTGCGAACAAGGCAACTCATTGGCCAGTGAGTGTACGATTCAGTGCGTCTCTTAAATGTTTACATCGTGCTCAATAATATCTCATAAAGAATTATGTTTGTATCAACAAAAAAGAATGAAAAATATTGATGCACAAAAATCAAAATTTCATGTTTTTATATTTTTTTATTTTTTTTTACAGTCTATTTTTTCTCAAAACTAGTGCACATAGTAATTTCTTTCCGTACTAGCTCTATATATCGGCTCCAAATTGTTAAAGCGTGCATTTCACATCATTCGGCTTTGATAGTATGTGACCACACTCAAAATAATCCAACGGATTAAAATCTGGAGATCTTGCAGGCTACTCCTCGTTTGGCACAAAATCAACCAGAATAGATTACAACCAAAGCATTACGGTTTTCCTTAACTCTAGCACTATTTGAGCTTCCCGGAATTTCTTTCCAGATCGCAGTAACACTCAGTAGTGGAAAATTAGGTAAGTGTTACGGTTAACGTTATGTAAACCATATGTAAAATCTGTTCATTGTATCCAAAATATTTTTATAACCTTTAACACAAACTTCCTTATCTATACAATCAGCTGAAGTCTTCCACTCTTATGGAAATTTGAAAAGTTAATATATAAAGTCAATACACAAAGTCAATATATAATATACGAAGTCAATAATATAATATTCTTTTTTGTGGCAAATAATATTACAAGAATTTTAAAAGCTTTCCTTTCAGTTGAATAAATTGCTAATATTTCATGAAATTCTATGTTATAAATTATTAGACTTTGAAATAATTATTTTATTATTACATTAAGATACAAATGTCATTTAAGAATTTATTGGTCACTCTATATTTTAAACGCCAATAAAAAAAAGTTTTAGTTGTCTTAAGAAGCTGCGCTGTTAATGGGTTTACATTTTTTGAATTTCAAAATACTCCAGCTGCATTAAATTTTCACGTTGACGCTATAGAACTTTTAAAAACACATAAAGCAACTTTTAACAACAATTTATTTTATACACTTAAGGTCCATATAACGCCCATTAAATAACATTCGCTGTGGGATTTTTCATAATTTTTTAAAAGAAAAATTTTTGTTGTAATAAATACTTTGTTCAATATGAAAAATGAAAAAATAATTATATGGCATCCAGTCAATATTATATAATAACTTGAACACTTCAAAAAAGCAAGCACTAAAAACATTTAAGATTTAAAAATATGGAAAGCCAATTCTAATTTAGTTTCTTGGTTGAATTTTGAAAAATTTTGATTTGAATAATAATATATATAAAAATTGATATTAGAAGTCCACTAAAACATTCAAGACAATAAAAGTTGGTACTAATTAATTGTTAAACTTTCTTTCATTTGTACAACATTTCTGTTTATTATTTTTTATTAAAAGGTTCTATAAAGAAATAAAAAAAATTCTTTTAAAATAGTTGACGTTTAAATATGACATTTAGCATTGAAAATTAGAACTTTTATTTTGAATGACTCAGTTTATGATATTTCAGAGGTTTGTTCTGAAGAATTACTTTACACAAAACTATCCCTCGATAAATAGAGGAGATGTCATTAATTCTAGGGAATATTTATATACTAACAATTTTCCTTTTTTTTTATTCCTAATTAAAATACAAAATTTAATTTTGATTAGATTACAATTATCTCGGTAATGCACACGAATGATGAGATGGCAATACCATCGTAAATATTGAAAAAAAATCGATTTTATTTTTATATTTTGGTTATTTTTTAATTTCAGAGTTTATTTCGGTACTTTTGGAATTGCTGCAATGATCGTTGTCATGTGTGATGATGTATCGTAAATAAAGTTAAATAGACCGACTTAAAAATGAAATTTTTTTTAAATCAATTCATTTCTCTTTTTATTCTTATTTTTAAGCTTGTTTTTTTTAATTTTAATTCTATGGGTACGGTTTTCTCAAGAGTAGAATTTTATTTTCTCTCATTTATAAAAACAGGATAATAATATCATATGTATGCAAAAACAGGAGCTTATCAGAAAGAACCCGATTGAACGCTTATTTTAGATTCAAAAATGTGAGTAGAATTTTCACAAATGCACAAAAATTCTAAACTGACCCCTGTATTTTATTATTTTACTTTAGCAAAATACACACAAACAAACAAAACAAAAATGAGTTGGATTGAGGCAATGTTGCCAACAATTTCTAATTGGCGCTTGTGTACAGTGCACACAAAAAAAAGAAGAAAAAACAGAGCACCCTGAATAATTTTTGTTCTAATGACAGAGATGTGATTCTTCCGCGGATTCGCGGATTTCCGCTTTTTTTCAGATTTTTCCATTTTTCCCGCTAATTTCCACGGAATTTTTTTTTTGCACAAATTAAAATATTTTATGAGGATTTTAATTTTCCGCTGAGCGAAAGTATTGAAGTCCTCATTCCTCCCTCTGAAGTTTCTCTAAAAATCATTTTCTTGGGATAAAACCGATTGACCTTTATACAGGGATGTGATTTTTCCGCTTTTTAGCGATTTCCGCATTTTTTGCTTTTGCCTCTCGAATTTCAGCCTTTTTATCAAAAACTCCGATTCTCTAAAAGTTTTGTNTAAAAGTTTCGTTTTTTTTAATAAATATCCCGCTTTTTTTTTGTTGTTAAAATTCAGTCGTTGAAATTAAATAATTATATTTATTTACGATTTTCAAAGATAAACAGAAAATTCAAACTACGTCCTACCTTCCGCATTTTTTCTTATTTTAGCTGATTTTACACGCAGAAAATAAGATTTTCCGTATCTTTATCCGTCGCACCGGATAGCTCGTATTTTCGTAATTCAGACGTCGCTGCTTCCTGTTTTCTGGCGTGAAAACAAATGAAAAAAAAAAAAAATGGAGGTGGGTTTGCGGTGAAAATATTTATTTGCTCAATCAATTAAACTTGTAAATTTTTACTTATTATGTCTAAACAAAAACAATACAAACAAGCATTTCAGAAATCCCAAGTTCAGACTAAGCAAATATCTCGATCCTTATTCATGCGATTTTAATATCAATTATCGATTTTCGTATTTACTTGATTTAAAAGTTGCGCATTGCGATTCTTATTTACGCTATTTAAGTATCGTACATTATGATTCTTTTTTACGAGATATAAAAATCGAATATCATGTTTTGTATTTATGCATTTTTAAAATCGCGATTTTATTACCAATCATCGATTTTCGTATTTACCTGATTTAAAAGTTGAACGTTGCGATTCTTATTCAGGCGATTTAAACAGCGTACATTGCGATTCTTAGTTACGAGATTTAAAAATTCAATATCGCGATTTGTATTTACGCGCTTTTAAAACCCTATGTCGCTATTTGTATTCATGCGAGCTTTAAGTCCTATGTCGTGATTTGTTTTTGCGGTTGTAATATCAAACATCGATTTTCGTATTAATACGTGCTTTAAAAATTAGACATAGGGATTCGTATTTACACGATTTAAAAATTATGCATCGGATATGAATGCATAGGATAAAAATTATGCATCGCACGATTTAAAAATGAATAATTATCCTCTTTTTGAGTACTCTCATCCCTGTAATGATCTTCATGGAGGTTACTTCAAATATGATAGTTAATTAATACACACGATATTTAAAGTAACAAAATTAGACTCAAAAACGTATTTTCTCTGAAGAACGTATATTTGTCAGCGGATTTGCATTCCCTTAAATTATAGGGTAGTCTTATTCCAATAGTTTGTTTAGGAGAACAATCTACTGTTTGGACTTTTTAATGTTAATTTTACTTTTTGTTTAATTCTCTATATCTTTTTGTGCGAATGATCGAAAAATTTCGCATCGTTACGAAATTCGTTTGTCCAAATATAATAATTCCAAGCAAAACTATAACAAATTCAACATAATTTTAAAGTATGTAATTTTATATGGTAAAATATAAAATCGAACAAAATCGGTCGAAGAAATCACATTTTCGTATACTTAGAAACGGGAAAATCCTATCTCTAGATAAAAAAGTTATTCAAGATGTTTATTTTTTTTATTTATTTATTTTTACTCATTGTACACCAAATTTTAGCATTTTCGGTAGAATTTCCATTTTTATTTATTAAAAGGAAATTTATTAAATAAAAATATTTTGAATATTCATCGTCACGTAAAAGCTTTACCTCATTAACTTTATCTAAATATGTCAAAGTTGACTTGATAATTTTAAATC